AGCCTGCATTACCTGTTAAAATTGCCCATTTGGCATACCCTTTTGCCTACTTCCCTATGTAATCTTTGTCCTACCCAATATAAGCAGCTGGTTTATGGGGAGAGGCAGACAGATTTTTTGTGGATGACCTGCTCTCTCCCATCCTGCCGGCAGTATTGGAATAAACGCTCATATGATTCAACCCTGTCTCTGCTTAATTGGCTCAAGTAGTGACAGGCAGCACGGACCCATGGATTGCCCCGTTACAATTTGTTCCATCTCCCATTTTTTCACCTTTGACCCCAAAACAAATGAAAGCTGAGAGTAATGTTTCTTACTGATTTGGGTTCAAGGTCAAAGAATAAATTCCCATTTAATTTGCAGGCTTACTGAAATGTCTAGCTGTCTGCCCTGGAACTTCAAGAACAAGTTTAGGGGGACAATTGACTAAGAATTGAAAGCAGGGTAAGGAACAAGGAGGGAAACTTCACTGAAGGCTATGAATTCCAGAGTGTCCCAAGGAGCCACAGTAAACAGCAGCAGCAGCAAATCCTGGGATATGGACTCAGGGTTTAGTGCTTCCCACAAGCAATCCTATCTTATCCTATATAATAAACCCCAATATGCAAATCGAACGAACGGCAGAACGACCAGCAAAACGACGGTCGCTATGATGTGCACTGACCACCAGGGGGCAGATGCTCAATGCAGGAGCTGCCCCCTGGTGGTTAGTGCATTCCCAGAGGAGGAGTGCTGCTCAGCCAGAAGCTGACCTCACGGCTGGTGATTGCAGCGGTGGTGGTGGGAGCCTCTCCCGCCTCTGCTGCAGAGGGGCAATAAGGAGCAAGGGGTCCCAGACTGCGAGAACCCTGGACTGCGAGAGGGATGTCTGACTGCTGGCTTAAGCCTAAGCTGGTAGGCGGGCATCCCCCAAGGGGTCCGGGACTGTGAGAGGGTACAAGCTGAGCTGAGGAAACCCCCCCCACCCCCACCCCCGCCCAGTGCACAAATTTTGTGCACCAGGCCTCTAGTATAGACATATAGATGAAAAAAATAAAAGGCAAAATCCACAAAGCGTTTACAATACCTAGGTACTCAGAAAGGGTCTAAAAATTACTGTTCTTGTTTGCATCCATGAGGAAAACAGATACAGAAGAGTTACGATAATCAGCTCAAAGGAATCAGGTAATGTCACTGTTCTTCAGTCTATGGCTTCCATTGGTTATTTTAAACCTCATTATCTCTTCTATTAATGAACAATGTGAACTCCTTTGATTTTACCATAATAAAGACTTTTGGAGCTCAAGCTGCTCCCCAGCCCAGGAAATGTGACCAGAGCCTTCAATCAAGATAGGTATTCATAAATTAGATAAAGCAATCAGCAACTTCCCAGGACAGCTGTAATGTAAAACCCATGAAATTTAGCCCTATATCTTCCAAGTTGCTTTATCTGTTCTGGTAGGGAAAGAAAAATAAATAATCTTCATGTACTGAAGCTGATCTATTTTGGAGTGACAACTAATGCATCTTTTATTTTAGCCTCTCAGCTGCTGTGGGCTCAAAGAACTTCGTCAGAGTGACAGGCAAAAAAATAAAGTCCATTTCTTTTCTTTGATACACTAAAGCTAAAGAAATAAAACACGCAGCCATTTAAAATGCTGTTACCATGAAGCCCAGTGTCTTGAAAGCTCTGCTCATCCTGCCTCCTGTGGGACTGTAACAATTTAGCAGCAGCAGCAGCAGGAGGCCCCTAAGCCAAGATAAGATGCAAGGAAGGACTCCTTGCTGGACTTCACAAAAACAACCCCAGAGACCCATCAACTCATATGTCCCCAAGTGAACTGGTAGTAAGACTGTAACCAGAGACGTGAACTTGGCCAAATGACCAACCAAGCCAGATAGTAAAGGGCACTTATAAGGGATGTTCCTATTCGTGCTCTCTGCTGTGACCTCATAGGAGGATTCCCAGATATATGAAAAATGTAAATAACCTTTCTCCAAAACTTCTAAATTCCCACTCCATTTTCAGCATACATAACCAAGTATTGGAAAACCATATATAAACAAGTCTTTATCTTAATAACAGATCCCAATGTTTACGTAAACCTCCTAAGGCAGGCAGAAAACAAACCTGTGATTTTTTTTCTGTTTATTTCACTCTATTTTCTTTTGATTTGTTCACCTTGGTGGTTCATAATAAACATCTAAGCTTTATTATATTTAAAATAAATCTATATAAATATATCTAGCATGTAAGTCTACTTGGTAAGAATACGGTTTTTATAGTTAAATTTAGTTTGTTTTTTTTAGTGGTAGATGAAAGAATTGTGCATTTTACAACCAATAGCATCTTTTAAAAACATTTCTTTTAATTTGTATTGAATTTATTGGGGCGACATTGGTTAATAAAATTATATAGGTTTCAGGTGTACAATTCTGTAATACATCATCTGTATACAGTTTTGTGTGTTTACAACCAATGACACCTTAAATTTCATGAAATAAGGCAGTTAACATTAAGTCAACACCCTCCTCTTATTTTGGTATGCTGCTACGAAATACCATGTTTTGGGGTAATGTAGTCACATTACAGCATCACCAGTTTTATGTTTCTTAATATATCTTCTTAAATATCTTAAGTTTATTATAATTTTATGATAGAACATCCTCTAAGGATGTAATTTTTTTTTTTTAAGGAAACGAATTTGATTTAGATAGGGGAGCTTTGAAAAGGATCCCAAATTAGGGAGACACTACATCAGATATTTACACTGAATAGAATGAATTTAAATATTACATACAGCCCAAGACCCTATTTATAGCGCAAAGAACTCTTTTCATATGAAGTTAATCCTTACAATTAATTTAAGTTCTGTGTTGGGGTAGTTGTATTTCCCATTTTACAGTTCCTTAATGATGCAAATGAAGTTTAATTCTAAATATCTGGAAAGAACTAGGACCGATGTGAAAACTCATAAGTAAGTGTGGTGGGCAGTTAGACATGAGCAGCGCAGGGGTGCCGGGCCAGGTACAGAAGGCCACTAGGGTGGAAAGCCCCAGCAAAGGACAAAACTGGGAAAACAAGGACCTTGCCCCCAGGGTAACCTCTCACCTAGCATTTCGCAGGTCTGACCCTCCCCTGACCTTTCCTCCCCTAGCACGCTGCTAGTCATGTGGGTCAGACCCTCCTAGAGGGGAATGAGAAAGGGGGCCGGAGGATAGCCCTTACACATTAAACCTCCAGGACAATGAGGTTCTGATCCGCATCAAATACATACAGGCCTCACTGTGTTTCAGCTCCAGGCCCAGGAGAGCAGCAAAGCCAGACAGACAAAGCCATGTAACTAGAGACTCAAGTAAGGAGGTTGCTGAACCCAGGTCCAGTCGCCGATAACATTGTTATTGCGCTGACGTTAGGACCAGCTGCACTGACTGATGATCCCTGGGGCCGACCAATCAGTGAAGACCACAAGCCTGAACAGACACACCTGGAAAGCTGATCAATATTCTATGGATCCTCCCAAGACCTCCAGACAAATACCCTCCAGGACCCAGAGCGGCAGTCTCTCTGGAGAGGCCCCCCCACCCGCCTCCTCCCCCAGGTGTGTCCTCCTGGCTCCTCTCTCGCTACTCTCCAGGGGCCCTTGTCTAGCCTCTGCCATTTGTTCCCGGAGCCCAGGCAGCCCAGCTGGCTTGCTTCTTCTACCTCTGACTTTCCAAATAAATTTCTGCTCGTAACTGAGTCTTGGCTCTGAATTCTTTCTGGGCCAGAACGCAAGCACCAAGGGTGCTGAGCCAAGGTCCAGTCGCCAGGACCAAGCCGGGTGCCATTTTGCCGGCGACACCAGGAGACCAGACGCTGGTATCCCGAGTTCTCTGATCGCCCAGGGACCTCCTCCACCCGGTCAAGCCTCAGCTCCCAGCAGGTCCGGCGCCGGGAACACTGGCTGCAGTAACTCGCCTCCCTTTTGATATCTGCTCATGCGGCCTCGCTCCATCTTACAATTAAGACCTCGGCGTCCTGATTTCAGATCGCATGCACAAGTCCCACCTGCCCACCTCAAGCCACCCAGACTGAAGGCGACATTCACAGGCTTGGTATGAAGACACGGAGTATGTGGGCAGGAGGCCGAGAGGACTGGAATCAGTCCATCTGCCGCCCATTAGGAAAAGGGGCCCCAGCACCTCTTCGTTCCTTTGGCTTCGGGATGAGGAGCGCGAGCACCCACAGCTGTGTCCCCACCCCACCTCCCACCACCTGCCCCGGCGGTGGCCGGAACCCAGAGAGTGTTCTCGAAAAACACTCACTCAGCAGCTCCCCCGGCTGGTCCGGCCTGGCCAGCTCGAGCCGCGGCAGCTGCCCAGCAGCGTCAATAGCGCCCAAGCAGCTGCCCTCCTCCTTGCTGCTGCACTTAAGGGGGAATCACGGCCCTGAGAAGGGTGAGGGTATGACTCGGGAGGGGGGGCGCCGGGGTGGAGGAAGGGGCGTCCGACGTGCAGAGCACGAAACCAGCCCCTCGCTCTTCCTCTTCATCGTTTTCCACTTCGGGGGTCACTGTGGGGAGGGGGCGATCAGGCCCACAGTGAGGACACACCATCACCTCGGACCCAGGCCAGTGCTCGCTGGGGTATGATTACGGAAGAGGATGAGGAGAGCACGGGCTTTGACTGACGACAATGCAGAGAAGTTCGGGGGGGGGTCACGGTCGCCGCCCCCGCCCGCAACAGACCCCAAATGCCCCCAGAGACCAAGGCTCCGCCGTAGGGACGACCTTCTCCTCTGCTGCAAAACGACCGCGGCCTCAACTCCCCAGCCAGGCGGAAGCCGGAGGGGAGGTCCGACCTCCGAGAGCGCCCCTTCAGGGGGTCCATCCGGACTGGATCGCTAGCGTGGGGGGGGGGGGGGTCCACGGAGGGCGGGGCATCGCCTCAACAGCTAGGAGCTGCATCATGGCAGGGACGGGTTACCCACAGGCACGGAGCTGCAGCTCGCCCCTTCCCCTGCACCACGACCCGGTTACCTCTTCGCTCCTTCTTCGTCCGGCAGCTCTGGCTCGGTCGCCGCCATTACCACATCGCACTCCGCGGTAGCCGCCATCTTACCGCCCAGACCAGAGAGCCGGGTGGGAGGCCGGCGGTGAAGAGCACTTCCGGTCGGGGCATCGAGTCGCGCAGCGGCGCTGTGCCCAGAGAGGCTCCCTCGGGCCCGTCTACCAGCGAGAGGCTCCGCTGGGGGCCAGAGCGGCCTCCCGCCCCCGGAGGTCCACGGCGGTCTCCGCGCGGGGGCGGGGCCCCAGGGACGGTTCCTGTGCGTGGGGGGCGCCACTGTAACCGTACGGCGTAAGAAGGTGCAGGAGGATGTCGCCTCTGTAGACCTTGGCTTTCCTCAATCTTCCCGGAGCCTCGTTGCCATAGCAACTTCCAACTCGTGCGCGTCTTCTGTAAGGTTGAGAGGGGTCTGAGTGGGGTGGGGACCCGGTCACCCAGGACTCTGGAGGGAAAGAGCCCCCCAACTGCTGCCTTTCCCGACCTTGGAGCGTGTCCACCGCTTCCTCCCGGGAAAGGCAAGAAGAGACACTTTGAGCCCGGTTCCTCCAGCTTTCATCGGCCCTGGGAAGCCCTGCCCAGTCAAGCCAGGGGTACGCGGGGCGTCTTCACCCCGCGCCTTTCATCCCCTCTGGCTGTCCACGCACCAACTGGTTCATCACCCTAATGACGCCGACCCTTTTATGATGCTGCTTTCATGTCAGCCGCTTGGGAGTGCCATCTCAGCATCAGGCCTAGGAAGAGTGGCACAGCGCCCCGGACCCTGCCCTTGAGTTTATAAGGCAGCTCACAGGGTGAGGTCCCTGCCCTGGTGTCCCCATATTCCCACCCCTTGTAAAAACTCCGCTCAGCACGTTTGTCTTGCTGAATGCAGTCTGGACTGGGAACTCTTCGAGGGCAGGGACACAGCCTAGCCATCTTTGCAGTCTGTCACCTCACCCAAACCAATAATATTTGTGGACTTGAATTAACTTGGGGTTTTCTGAGGTTAATTTGAGGGAGTTTGAGGTTAAAATTTGAGATATAGCCCTAGCCTGTTTGGCTCAGTGGATAGAGCATCAGCCTGCAGACTGAAGGGTCCCAGGTTCGATTCCGGTCGAGGGCACATGCCTGGGTTGCGGGCTTGGTCCCCAGTAGGGGACGTGCAGGAGGCAGCCGATGAATGATTCTCTCTCATCATTGATGTTTCTATCTCTCCCTCTCCCTTCCTCTCTGAAATCAATAAAGATATATTAAAAAAAATTTTTTTTTGAGATATATGGGGAATTAATAAGGGGGCAAGGGAATTCAAAAGGGATCTTATCCTCTTCCTCCAGTAAAACTAGGTGCCATTGTCCATAGGCTGCTCGCATGATCCCTGACTATCAGAGAGCCAAAGAAGCTGAAACCAAACTCACCATTAGGTAGGGGAGAATGGGAGAGGCCATTTATCCAGCCCTCTCCAAAGTGCCTATTCTAGCTTGGGAGGACACAGACTCACCACCTGCCCTGCCTGCCAATGGCTCACAGTCTACAGTCTAATACAAGAGGTCGTCTTTCACCATCTTCTCACTTGGTGTTCTCTGGCTGTAAGCTAACTCATCTACACCCACAGCTTTATTCGTTGTGACTTTCTGTTGATATCTCCAGCCTAGGTCTCTCTTCTGAGTTCAGATCTGTATATCCAACTATCTACTGGTATCTTTTGGATGTTTCACAAATCCCTAAAGCTTAACATATTTAAATGGAACTTGTCATTCTCTCCCCACCCCTTCACAACGGATAAAAAACCCCACACAAACCAAAAACAAATGCTGGACTTGATTCTCTTCTGCTGGGTTCCTTGTCTTGTTGAATGGATTCATCATTCACCTGGTCATCAAATGAGACAGATGGAAGACATCGTGAATTCCTCTCTCGTTCTCACTCCTGACTCCCAGTTTAGCACCAAATCTTGATTCTCTTGCCAAAAGTCTCCCAAGTCTATCATCTTTCCATCGCAATTCTGGCTCTTGTTATTATTTTTTTCAAACTTGGAATACTATCAAAGTTTCCTGACTGGCACCCCAGCCTCATCTCTTTCCAATCTTCAGTCTTCTACCAGACTTGACCTTAAACGCAAAAAACGACCATGTTACTGCACTAAAACCTCCCAATGGCTATCCGTGGCTGTTAGGATTCAGCTGGAAGCCTTTGCTCTACTACACGAGGCCTTCGATTATTTGGTCCCTTTCTACCATCAATATTGAACCCAAGTACTTGTAGTTCCAGAAAAATGCCGTGACTCTTGGCCATGTTTTCTTCATCCTTTCCTCCCAAGCCCTTCAAAGCTCAACACAGACGTAACGGACTCCGGGAAGTTCTCCGTGGCGCCCACTGCCCCCAAGTTAAATGCCCTTCTGCTGTGCTCCTGTGGCCCCTCCTTTGCTGTCATTTCGGGATTAGATGTCCAGCTCCTCTAATGGGCAGCTAGGGTGCGTCATTGGTCTCCTTTTCCAGGTGCGTGGTCCCGTACCTGGCACAGAGTCGGTGCTCACCATACATTGATGGAGAAACGCTGGAGTAAATGAAGCGTCACTGTACCACAGCAGCCTTAGAGAAGGACACGTGGGCATCAGGCCAGAGCGGCGCCCCGCGTCCAGGGGGCCGAGTACAGCACCGTGCGCGCCCGCTGCGCACCACCATCGGGTCCCGGCCGCCAGGTCCCCCGCCGGCCTCTGGGGGCGCTGGGCGGACGGCGCCGGCTCTCTGCCGCCGGAATTCGTCTTGGGGGACAGAAGCTGGGGGGCGGGGGGCGGGACCGGACAGAGCCCGGATGCACCCGGAAGGACGGAGGCCTGGCGGCCGTGCTGCCCCTCCCCTGATCCCGGTGCTCCTAGGGGCCCGGCTGGGGTGCTGCGAGGGCTCCGGCAGGTACGGAGCTGGAAGGCGGGGATCGGCCGCGCGCCGGGGCCGCTTTCGGTGGTAGGTCTTTGCCGCCATGGATTCCTCCGGGGTGGGGGTGGGGGCGTCCCCTCGTGGGGAAACCTGTGGCGGAGGCCCCGCGGGCTCGCTCTCGGGGTACCTGCTCATCGGGGAGCTCAGTGTATGGGGCCCTCGGGACGGGGTCGGAGAGTCTGTCTCAGGAGTTTCCCCCGGAGAGGGTTCTGTTTGGAACCCCTTTGGGGAAAGGTCTCTCTGTTCCCGGGAGGGATCTGGGGCTGCTGGTGGGCTGCCTCCGCGATCCCTGGCGAGAAGGGGTTTCTGTGTCTGAGCCTTCTCCTCTGGGTCCGCCAGCCCAAGGGCCGCGAAAATCGTCTCCTTTCCGGAGCCTGTCCTTCCTCAGATCCCTTCACTTCCTTCTTGTCTGGTGGTCTTACTCTTGGACGGGACTTGACTAGGAACCAGAGGGAATTCGTTGTCTGGATAAGTCATACAGGAAAGCAAAATGTTCTTATTTGTTCACCAGGAAGAGTAGCTTAAGACAGATCCACACACAATAGTATTCCCGCTGATTTCTCCTCGGGGGTCAGAGTTAAAGGGGGGAGCCGGGCATGGGCTCCCTGCAGTAACTGGTGCTCCCAAGTCCTGTGCGTGGGAGGGACCTCGCCGGTGTTTCCTTTTAACCATGTCTCTTCCCCCCTTAGGGCAGCATACAGTGAGCACCAGGTCACTGGCCAGCTACGGGGAATCGCGAAGGCGAAAAAGACACAGCTCCCTGCCCAGTAGGGGACATAGACACATCATTTCTTTTTTTGTTGATATATTTTTATTGATTTCAGATAGGGAGGGAGAGATAGAAACATCAACGATGAGAGAGAATCATTGATCGGCTGCCTCCTGCACACCCCCTACAGGGGATTGAGGCCACAACCGGGCATGTGCCCTTGACCAGAATCAAACCTGGGACCCTTCAGTCTGCAGGCCACCGCTCTATCCACTGAGCCAAACCGGCTAGGGCGAGTGAGACACATCATCTCTGACGTACACCCTGACTGGAGGAGAGGGCAGTGCTGGGCCCCCCGAGGCTGCCCGTGCAGCTCAGAACTTGGGCTCTGCTTTGATCCGCCTCACCCGGTGTGCTGCTTTCTTTAAGGTTGAAGGCTCAATATGGGGAAGAGTTGCAAGGTGGTCGTGTGTGGCCAGGCATCTGTGGGCAAAACGTCAATCCTGGAGCAGCTTCTGTACGGGAACCATGTAGTGGGTGAGTGTTTTGTTTGGGGAGGGTGGGGGCGGGGAGGGGATGGTGGAAGAAGCTGAAGAATAAGGAGTAGGATTTAATAACACAGAGAAGCCAAAAACTGCTCCTGGAGTAAAGTCTACATCAGGGGTCCTCAAACTTTTTAAACAGGGGGCCAGTTCACTGTCCCTCAGACCGTTGGAGGGCCGGACTATAGTTTAAAAAAAAAAAACTATGAACAGATTCCTATGCACACCGCACATATCTTATTTTCAAGTAAAAAAACAAAACGGGAACAAATACAATATTTGTATTTGCATGTGGCCCGCGGGCCGTAGTTTGAGGACCCCTGGTCTACGTCATGCCCTCCAGCCCTACAACATTGAGACCTGGAGGAAGGAAACCCAATATCAGAGATAAGGAGGAAAAGCTCCCAAGTCTCACTTTTGCTTAGCATGGTGTGAACCTGAGGTTCATGTCTGTTCCCCCAAATCGCTCCAGTCCTGCTGGATTCGGTCTGGCCCCCTCTTCTCAGCCCCCACACTCCTTTCCCTCCCTGTCTGGCCAGCCCGTCAGGATATCCTCAGTCACTCACGTTATCCCATCTCCTTTCTCCCTACAAACAAGTGTCCTCGTTTTCTCTCAGGCTCTGAGATGATCGAGACCCAGGAAGACATCTACGTGGGCTCCATCGAAACTGACCGGGGGGTGCGGGAGCAGGTGCGTTTCTATGACACCCGCGGGCTCCGGGACGGGGCGGAGCTGCCCCGGCACTGCTTCTCCTGCACCGACGGCTACGTCCTGGTCTACAGCACAGACAGCCGGGAGTCCTTCCAGCGCGTGGAGCTGCTCAAGAAGGAAATCGACAAGTCCAAGGACAAGAAGGAGGTGTGTGTGGGAGCCCCGGGGGTGCGAGAGAGCGGGCCGGGGCTGGCTTTGGGAGGCTTGGCATGGCTCTGTGTTTTACTCGCTTTCTAGGCGGTGGGTCAGGAGCT